ATTCAAAAGGTTCCCTACAAAAACAATGTCGCAAAAATAATCCAACGACCACTTCCTTCATTCTTTGAAGAAGTTTTCATGTTATTGTCCATAACGGCCGGCAAACTAATACAAAAAAGTACCAATCACACCTTGAAAAAAGCACTCATCGTTACCAATTTAAAAAAAAAAAAAAAGATTACACGACTCACCTTTGTATTTTCAATGACCAGTCTTCTGTATTTTGCTAAAATTTTCTTTTAAAATTATATCCACAGAGGTAAAGCATTCGAAAGCGCATTTTTAAAATCTAAATAAATGTGGGACGCAATCTTATCTTGAGTCACTGCCTGTTTTCGTTTCTTCTTCAAGTTGAAATTCAAGAAAATCTGCGATTTTCATTCGCGAAACGAATGATTTATATTTGCCCCGAAAATCATAAATCAGGGTAGAAATATTTTAATTTATAATTTATTATACACGGACTATCCGTTATGTCTAGAAGAAGCCGCTTCAGAAGTCCCACACAGAATCTTCAAACAGAGAAAAAAATACATTAGAGATTTACAGTATCTGATAAGGAAATTGGGTCATTCTGCGGTTATGCTTCAGAGGTCATTTCGGACTGTGTGTGTTTCGTTTTTCTCGTGTCATTGTTCAACCATCACGTCCCACAATAACGAAGCATCGGAAGCAACAGCGGAACGTGATCCGTATAATTCCGTGAAGATATACGCGGGGAAATTTCAAGGAGAAAAGCTTTCTGAAAAACGCTGTGTGAACACGGAACGTGTACTACACTGTATACCCGAAGGTCGACAACAACAACAACGTCACTCACATCGATAAGCCAACTAACGCAGTCTGCTATATACCCTGAAACTCCCATTTTCGAAATCATGCCACACGTCGGCCTGAACTTCACATCGCCGGCGAACATTCCAGAAGCTTCTTCCGCATCACATACGACCCGCGTGAATGAAACTCAGTGAATATGTATGTATACTTTACGTACTCACGGACCATAAGTAGAAGGACGACGGATCGAGATCACACATACAACTGAGAAACACGACAGTACGACAGAAAACACAGGCGACAGGGGGGGGGGGGTATAACTAAAAAATAATAATAAAAGTACTTGGCCGAAAAAGGCCTTCTTTCCTTCAGCGCTCCTCGTCAGCCATTGACCGTCGAAACATCCAACCGCGCTTGGAGTCGAGAACTACACTGAGCGGCGTTATGGTCTTTCCCTTCTGCCCTTCTCTTGGATATCCCTGTGAAGCTGTTCAACTTGTCCGGCCGGATCGGTTACCATCCGACCACTGTACTGTATATCCTGTACTGTTTAGCCAATGTTGGAGATTGAACTAGAAATCCTGGAATATCACAAAATGCGAAGAAAGAGCTGAATAATCTATCTGTATCATGCCTGGAAGTTTCTTTCACGAAATTTAAAGGAATATGGTGTAAATTATAGTGGTTTTTGTGGACCCAAAAAAAATCTAAGCAAGACATGAAATACGTTCAATACATGCACTTTGGCATTAAATTTCAATTGAACATGGGCTTCATGAAAAATATATAACCTATATCAGTGGTCCCCAACCTGTGGTCCACAGACCAGTGCAAGTCTGCAGAAATTTTTTGCCAGTCTTCAGGAAATTTTCTGCAGCATAATAAATTTAGAAAAGTATTCATGGAGTCTGTTATCTTCATCTGAAACCTCAAAAAATGGTAGTTGAAATAATCTCAAGAACACATGAGTTGGCTTTTCTCTTAATTACAATTCAGAAAAGTATTCACATGCTAAAATAAACTATTCTAATTTTTCAGTCTGAGAGCCCTTTCTTGAAGCCCGCCTTTCTAATTGTTTGAAAACATTCCACTATACGCCTGCTTCATTGGATCTTGAATTTCGCAAAAAAGCAGAAACTTTTAAATGCCTACCATGAAGATTTCTGCAAAAATGATACGAAGCTTTGTGGGTCCACAGATAGTTTTTGGGAAATTTGCCAGTCTGAAAAAAATTTTAAGGCAATTTGCTGGCCTGCATGCCTAAAACTTCAGGATACACTGACCTATAGCAATTGGGAATTGAGCATATTTATCCAGAGAAGCTAAACTGTGTTTGTTTCTATTGAATTATCTTTGAAATGACCTTGGTTGATAAACTTAATTATAATGTCTGAGATGGAGGTTCATCCTCTTAAAAGTTTAGAAACAAGAAATAATCTAAAACTACAGAGAATGGCTCAATGGTTTCAGGGCACCAAAATGACTCCTGAATGAGTAATTTCAGGCCATGAGTGGGGATTAGTCTAGTTCTTGTCATTTTCTATCAACACTTCTAAATCAATTTGATGATGAGTTCTTTGAAATTAATCAAGCCATTAATTTGGGGGATGTGCAAAACTAGTTCATCATAGAAACAAGATTATACGTATGAATAATGACACCATTCCCAATACTCTATACTTGAATACGCTATTTCAAGTCCTTTGGAACCAGCTAAGGTATGTGCTTCGATTTGGGTGGGACATATTCCAAGGGCGGATAGATAGTAGTCCTAGGGCATGCACGCGGATAAACGGGAGGAGGAGGAAACCCAAACGCTTGCCTTCCCTCCTGAGGAGCTCAGTCGCAGTTGTGCCAAATAGGTACACAGAGGAGCCCGGGAAAGGGAATGATCCCGCGATGCAAGTCTTTTACTGTACTCGGATGACTTGATTTAAGCAAACACTTTTTTTACCAACTCCCTGGATTATATTTTTTTCTAGATAGGGCCAAATCATTTATATGGTAATATAAACAGAACTGAGCAAATCTTTACTTGATGCAAAATCACCCATATTGTCCTGTGAGATTCAAATTTCATCATTTGCTGTAGAAACTCTTTAGTATCTTGAATGTTTTCTACTATTTGAATTGAATAAGGAGTAATAATTGTCACTGCTTCAATAAGTATGCAAGTACAGTGGCCTCCCACCTAACAGACCTCCTGCATAAGGGATTTTTGCCTAACAGACCACCTCTGAAGGCAGTTTTTCCTCCTGCCCAACAGAAAAAATTGACCAAACAGACTTATTTTGGTTTAAAATTAGTGTTGATAATTTGAATTTTAAATTTTTTATATAATTGAATTTGTCTAAAGGACTTTTTGCCTAAAAGACTTGCCCATTGCACAAATTAAGTCCATTAGATGGGGGTTGACTGTACTATGGCTGATGTAATTTTCACTCCACCAATATAATGGACAGTCATATTAGAAATGAATACCAAACTAAAATTACAGCACACTGACGCTCTGACTTATTATCAATCCCAAAAAGAGCTTGTGTGCACTACGAGTAGAGACAGTCCCCATTTTTGCTTCGAGCAATCAACCCTCCTGCTTGGAAGAAAAGTTTCTCCTTGTCAAAAATTTGAAAGCATGGGAAATTCAGCAAATAAGAAAAGTATTTTCTGTCTCATTGTGATAAGCTTTTTCATTTGCTTTTTAAAAATTTCAAGTCCTTTGGAACCAGCTAAGGTATGTGCTTCGATTTGGGTGGGACATATTCCAAGGGCGGATAGATAGTAGTCCTAGGGCATGCACGCGGATAAACGGGAGGAGGAGGAAACCCAAACGCTTGCCTTCCCTCCTGAGGAGCTCAGTCGCAGTTGTGCCAAATAGGTACACAGAGGAGCCCGGGAAAGGGAATGATCCCGCGATGCAAGTCTTTTACTGTACTTGGATGACTTGATTTAAGCAAACACTTTTTTTACCAACTCCCTGGATTATATTTTTTTCTAGATAGGGCCAAATCATTTATATGGTATTATAAACAGAACTGAGCAAATCTTTACTTGATGCAAAATCACCCATATTGTCCTGTGAGATTCAAATTTCATCATTTGCTGTAGAAACTCTTTGGTATCTTGAATTTTTCTTCTATTTGAGTTGAATAAGAAATAATAATTGTCACTGCTTCAATAAGTATGCCAGTACAGTGGCCTCCCACCTAACAGACCTCCTGCATAAGGGATTTTTGCCCAACAGACCAGCTCAGGCAGTTTTTCCTCCTGTCCAACAGACAAAATCAACCAAACAGACTTATTTTGATTTAAAATTAGTGCTGATAATTTGAATTTTAAATTTTTTATATAATTGAATTTGCCTCAAGGACATTTTGTCTAACAGACTTGACCATTGCACAAATTAAGTCCATGAGATGGGGGTTGACTGTACTATGGCTGATGTAATTTTCACTCCACCAATATAATGGACAGTCATATTAGAAATGAATACCAAACTAAAATTACAGCACACTGATGCTCTGACTTATTATCAATCCCAAAAAGAGCTTGTGTGCACTACGAGTAGAGACAGTCCCCATTTTTGCTTCAAGCAATCAACCCTCCTGCTTGGAAGAAAAGTTTCTCCTTGTCAAAAATTTGAAAGCATGGGAAATTCAGCAAATAAGAAAAGTATTTTCTGTCTCATTGTGATAAGCTTTTTCATTTGCTTTTTAAAATGCTGAGGTCTCTCATTGCATGCAATGCATAAAATTTTATTTTGCATTTAGTATTATTTAAAAATGTGACATGGAAATGTACAAGAGAGCTGCAATGAATTTGGAATTCCCTGTAGCTTCAAAAGGATGTCTGAATGACTTTCTGGGAATTTACACCTGTTAAACATTTGATAGAGCTGCACTTATGCCCAATGAATTAAGATAAATGTTTTGGACAATGGATTTTCTGCTGGAGTACGTTTTGTCACTGGTAGACTACAGTGAATACAACTCAACCTAATGTAACATTAACTAAGCCGAAATTACCCAAGATAACCTATAACTTTATACGTCATAAGGTACTGGTTCACAGGGTGATCCTTCCCTAACTCTACTTTGAGGCGTGCTTGCTGGTTTTCATTAAACTTTGCAGCATAGTCACAATACCACGACAAAAGAAAGCCTGAACGTTATATTAAGCGAGGATACTTCACTGCTTAGTCCCAATTTCGCATACTTGAATACCTATCTGGCATACTTGCTATAGGCGGCCAAAACGCAGCGCGCGCTGCCGGTTCCGCTTGCAACCCGGCTCTCTCCGACCCTCGCAGTCCAGCGCCCCTCTCTGAACCCGCGGACTACGGGTTCCTCTCCACCAAACCCCGTGGGGTAGGGTGCCCAACGCAGGGAAAGAATAACACCGTATGCCTTTTTTTTTTCCAAGAAAACCTGCGCGCGGGAAGAGTGGAACAAAAACGTGGAGGGAGATACACACAGTCCTCCCCACAAACCCTGTCGACTTTGGCGTGGTGTAGTTATGCCTGGCTGTAGTGCCTATATATGCGACACCACTGTCGGTGTTGGTTCCCTGCGGGGCCGTCGACCGCCCCATAGTGGCTGGCGCGTGTGCCGGCGCCTGTAATTTTACCATGCCACATCGTACTGTACTCTACCATCGTAGGCTGTTTTCCTTCTTGTTTTCGCGGGCTGACAGATGGGGTCTCTTGTGTCCTGGTCTTGAGTCACAGTCTGGTGTATATGTGCATGCATACTGTACATTGCTGTACCCCTTGTTGAGGGAACCACTGTGATAAATCATTCTCATCACGGGATAGGTATGCAGCCATCCTCAGAATATTGGGATGGACATGGTTCGAATATGACTTTTTTTTTGCTTCCCAACATAGTTCTCAGCCATGTGAGGAACATGAAATTTGTGTCTATTAAGGATATAGCACAGATGAAAAATAAGAGCAATAAAAGCTGACATATGATATTCGAATGAGCACCACCAGCACCTTTTTCCTGAAAATTTCAAGCAGAAAAATGGAAGGCAGAAATGTGGTGTGCAGGCGGCATCCATTTTATTAAACCAAAAAATTATCAATCCAATGGTGCAAACCAAAAGTGAATCTCAATCTGTGGGTGAAAATTAAAGGTGAATTTTATTGGCCTCAGTACTTCGAAAATTCTCCATGTTATTGTATCAAGTATTATTTTTTCAACGTAAATATTTTAAAATCTGGTTTTAAAACCAGTGAAAACTTGCCTTATATGCACGAGAGGAATTTTTTGTGGTAAATTCCATATCAAAACAATTTACTCAAGGCGGATGCGTGGTATACTTGAATAATGATTCAGAGGGCCGGAATAATGAACATTTTGCCCATTTGCATAGTCATGAGTAAAACATCGTCATACTGTACTTAGCAAATCTGCAGCTGACCTTCGAGGTCAAATTATCAAAGCTAATTACGTCATCGTCGAAATATGTTTACATCAAGAATCTGTTCACATATCGCGAGCAAGTTCTGTCGGGTGCCCCGCCACAATAAGCTTTTCATCATGAATCGACATCTGTGAAAGAGAAGCCAAATACTATGAACGAGTAATGGTTCATTCCCTAGATGTCGCTGCCACTCATTCGAAAATGCTGCCATGATGGGAACTGACAAGATCCCGACCCGGGTGATGCCAACGCTGCGCGTCTTTCCTTGGTTGGACATTCCCACACGTATAGGTTAGGTTAGATTAGGTGAGGTTAAATTCAGTTAGGTTAGATTAGGTCAAGTTTGGTTAGGTTAGGTTAGGTCAAGTTAGGTTAGGTCAGGTGGACTGTAAACCTTTTTCATCATTTGTACAGGGGAATGTCCATCCAAGGAAAGACAGGCGATGCGCGGCGTCGGCATCTCCCCAGTCGGGAATATGTATGTGCCCGCCATGATAGCGTTCGCTTTTATAAGTCAGAAAAAATGTTCTGAAGAGATATTTACACGTTTGATCCCTGAAAAATTATGCTAAATTCTAATTTTGACGAAAAATTTTGATTTCTTCACGAAGGGTCTCAAGTATATGCAATTTACCATTACAATGAGATCCCCGCACCCTTCTTCGGACAATGCCATGAATTGAGATACCGTGTGTAACCTTTCTAACAAGAAATCTCGCTTTCAGATTTTCTACAATAATCTTATAATAGCATTTCATGAATCCGATTCTCAAACTCATTTTAAATCATATTAAAAATTTTCATTATTTTTCGAAATTTTACTAGAAATTCAATCAAAGCTCAGAAATTGCATCAAAATGCATTATTGAACTCCAGTCTCATATGTACGAACCAATTGCAGACTTGACACTGGAGGAAGGGGGGTAATGTCTAGGTAACGATACTAATGAGTGCTACCAACCAATGACTAGCGGAACAGAATATATAATTTTTTTTCAAGCCTTATTTCATTGTTGGTCTTGTGCAGAACCTGAACGCCAGCAGCAGGAACGGATTACATGTTGCTATAACAAATCAACGAACGAAAAAGCATGCGTATATTTCAACAAGAGCGACATCTGGAAAGCTCAGAGATCGAAATAATCCCCTTCAGTTGCAGTGATGTAATGTCCACTGTCGGTATTTCCTCCACCGAAACTCAGCACGGCTTTACAATTTGCACGACCTCCCTCATTCATGCAGACTTCCTGGTTTATCACTCTAGGGAGAAATTCGAGACTTCTCAGAAGATGTCACCATGCAGTCACTGAAACGGGTATTAAACTCACATCCGTCATTCCAGCAGGCATATTCCTGGAAACGTCGTCACCAGTCGGCAGTCTCAGGTTCCCCGCCATTTCCACTAAGCGAGAATCCTTTATTACGGGGGGAACTAGTCTACCCAAGCTCTCGGGTTCCGTGAGTTCACCTGTTCAAGCAAAGCAAAAAATAAAATATACATTTGAACCTAGAAATTTCGAATCTCCGTGCGTCGATTTTTCTCAATTCCCTCTCCGAAATTCCTTTAAAAAAATTGCTTTCAAAACCTCCCCGACGACTGAAAGGTTTTCTTTAACGTCAAACCTCCACATTTTGGATTCTCTGGAGGTTTTCTGGCTGATTTTATCAACACGGCAAAGAGAAAAGCGATGGAGATTTTAAATCTATGCATTTCGAAAGGAAGTGAAAAACTCGTTGAACAAATAAACCCTCGCTTCCAATTTCAGCATCCTGTCACAACTAATTTACGAAGGTCTGGAATATCACCAAAATACCAACGACAATTTCCTGGAAACGAAATTCCCGTTTCCCTGACTCGATTCTTTTTAGCTGGTCTTTCGAAATTCGACTGTATGACAAAGATATGAAGACGAATTCTATTCAAAATATCCTCACCAAGTTTCCTTTTGGACTGTATGAAGATAGACCCAATCTTGATGACGATGAAAAACACAGTTTCCAAATAGAAAGCAACCATCCAGTCGCTCACATTGATCATGGTGGAAATGATAGGCAAACAAGCAATCCATTTGATCACAGCTTCATAAGCTCCCAATGCACTCGAGAAGATCGGAATCTTAGCTTCCTGCAAAAAAATGAGAAGATACAGATTATATTCCAGAAAATACATGAAGGTGGAAAGTTCGAGAAGGAACGACAAGAAGGAAGACAAGAAAACATTTCGACATTAAATCGGGAATCTCAATCGAATAACGTCCCGATTTCATTCACACAGTAACTAAAAGACCATCGCATCATCGTCATAAATAAATTCCCAAAACTCCATGAACACATTCAATGACTTTTTTTTTAATTCTAAAAATAGTATTTTATAAGTTGCTTCTCACCTTCAAATATGAATCCGTTCCTTCTACCGCGCCAATTATGTTAGCTGCGTAGGGCAACCGTGCAAGCTGCTCGATAGTCCTTAGCCGCCTGGGGCAAGTCGTTAGCTCTTCCTGATTCACCATTTTTTCTTTATTGTTTTGAGCAAAAATGCAATGCAAAATCACGACACTCCTCGCTAGTAGTCAAAGTAACACTGACGAAAAGCCTCGCCCTTACCCCAGCATCCTCAGGGCCACAGGGAGGCATATTATTGCGACACGCGCGGTGGAATAAACCGGCTATCCACAGAAAGTTCAGGAAGGTTCCCGAAGAGCGCCCGATATCTAGTACAGAAGGGACTGGGCGGACACGCATTGCATCAGGCAAAATAAGTGGTGAACATTGGATACTAACCTCGTGGCGGTCTCGAATGTCGCCGAGGGTTTCAGCGCCGTTTCCTTGGGCGCTGCTGGCTTACCGGTCTATCCTATCCCAAGGCCATTTTTGCTCCTCCAACACAGTATATAATGAGCGACTTCAATAATTCCCAGTATTTCTGTGCAATGTTTCATGGTGAGTAATGAATGTGCTGTAGGAAGTCTTCCCAGTGCGAAGGAATTATAATTTAATGCGTAATTGGAATGCATGACACAATTGGTTTTGTGCGGAATGATTCTGGAAGTTTATGCATAACTTGTATAAATGGGATTTCTTGTCTGAGCTACATTTCCTCCAGAAATTCTCAAAAAAAAAACTTTGCCATGTCTTAATCATTGTAATTGCTCCAAAAATTTTCATCAGAATTTTTCCTTGTGTTTCCTTGCAATACATACCACAAAATGATGTTCACAAGTATTGTATGTTATTTCATCTTACCTCAGCATCCATACTAAAATAAATGAGTACAAAAATGATATATGATTGTTACAGAATTCAGACTCAGATTGCATGAGAATTCATGTACTGTATACACATGTTTTGATGTACAGAATTTGATTTTTCATCTTCAATTTTCTTGAGCATTTTTTTTGCTTTTGCAATTCCATTTAACCAAGTCCCTGGGCATTTTTTGTTTCATAAATTTCATGACTGAAATTTCTTGGAGAATGTTCACATAACCTTCACATTCATGTTAAAGTTTCAAAATTTAGATGATTGGATGCAAAACCAGTGGCTTCCTGGGTCAATTTTTATTATTTTTTATTTTGTTTATATTTCCAGGCATGTTGAACATTTTGGAGGAATTTTAGAAGCTGTCATAGTTCATTTATTAAATTTTTCTTAATTTTTGTGGCTGAATTCACACAGAAACAAGAAAAGTGAAAGTTTCAAAATTTACATGAATTGGTGATAAACAAGAGGCTTGGAAATACGTTTTGAAATTAATTTTTGGCTTATCTATATTTCCAGGCAGGGTAGACTTTCTGAGAAAACTTCAGAATTTATCAATTTCAAGTCCGTCTTTTTTAATTATTGTGGCTGCATTTGCCTAGAAAAACAAAAATGTACATCAACATTTCAAAATTCTTCACAATTTATACCTAGGCATTTTAGACTTCGTAAAGGAAGTTTAGAAGTAAGCATTTTAGACTTCGAAAGGAAGTTTAGAAGTAATTTTATTCTTAAATCAGTTTTTCAATTTTTGTGGCTTACTTGGCCTAAAAGTCAAAATCTATATCACAGTTTCAAAATTCATGTAAATGGGTGGAGAACAAGTAGCTTGGAAAATCATTTAGAAAATTAATTTCTGAATTTTATATATTTCCAGATATTACTTGCTCCACCATGTCCGGAAATTAAAATGACATGAAAAAGAAATTCAAAAGTGACATTTGAAAAAAAAATTTCCAACGTTTCGTATGGATTTTCAACCTTTTGTACAAATATTAAAATACCAATGCAGATGATTTCTTACCATGACTATGGACGGGTCATTGTAGGGCCCATCCAACGTAGGTTGTAAGAACAGCGCAGGGATGAGAGGGTCACGAAATAATTACGGAACGCACGGAATGTAAATGAAAGTTTGACGATTTGTATTCCCCACATTTGACACTTTCACCACAGATTTGAAAAAAAAGCGAGAGATCGTTATCATATCAAGTACCGAATGACCCTTAATCATGACCTCCAGTTAAATCTCCTTCCTCCGCAGACTTGTTAGTTTCACCATCCATCTCCTCCGCAAATTCTCCATAGTCCACGTCCTCTCCTCCCTCGTCATCATCACATTCCTCAACCTGTACTGTTGGCTCTGGTTCATCTGCGGGTTCATCTACAGATTCCTCTTCATCCACTTCATCATATCCCCTTTCCGCAGTCTTCCATTCTTCATCCTCTCCATTAATTTCGGCGACGGCGGGAGTAGGGGATTCGCTAGACTCATTCTTCGGAGACACCTCTTCATCACTTATTATAGGCTGTGGAACGAAATTCAATGACCAAATGATTCTAGGTGTTGCACGCACACGAATACTAACCTTCAGCTCCTTTGCTTCGTACGAGTACCGCCGCGGCGCTCTGTGCTCAACCGCGGGCTTTTCTGGTTCCGAAGTCATTTGCTCCTCTGTCTCCTCAGTCACCTCAGCTGCAGAATTGTTGGCATGCTGTACAGCTGTTTTCGGTTCGGCCAGCAAGGATGCGGTTTTTTCAGCACAAAAAAGGGCAACTTGAAGAGTTTTAGTCAGGCTCCAGTCGGCAAAAGCGACAAACATGGCGATGAGCTTGAAGCTGAGAATCCAGTTGGCAACACTTTCGCCGCCTTCAATCACCGAGGACAGGAGCGGAATTCTCGCATCCTGAAGAAATGAGAGACGAGGGAGTGATGCATAGGCCATTTCTTGGGAAGCTTAAAAATGATAAATCATATCGTCTTCTATGAAAAACGGTCGCCCCCCCCCCCCTTTCTTCAGAAGTATCCTTCACATTCCAAAATTAAATTGATGGCAATGAGGAATACGATTCAGCATCCTTCATTGCGCCCCGCAACTTACATCCTCTCCATTAATTTCGGCGACGGCGGGAGTAGGGGATTCGCTAGACTCATTCTTCGGAGACACCTCTTCATCACTTATTATAGGCTGTGGAACGAAATTCAATGACCAAATGATTCTAGGTGTCGCACGCACACGAATACTAACCTTCTGCTCCTTTGCTTCGTACGAGTACCGCCGCGGCGCTCTGTGCTCAACCGCGGGCTTTTCTGGTTCCGAAGTCATTTGCTCCTCAGTCTCATCCTCAGTCACCTCAGCTGCAGAATTGTTGGCATGCTGTACGGCTGTTTTCGGTTCGGTCAGCAAGGATGCGGTTTTTTCAGCGCAAAAAAGGGCAACTTGAAGAGCTTTAGTCAGGCTCCAGTCGGCAAAAGCGACAAACATGGCGATGAGCTTGAAGCTGAGAATCCAGTTGGCAACGCTTTCTCCGCCTTCAATCACCGAGGACAGGAGCGGAATTCTCGCATCCTGAAGAAATGAGAGACGAGGGAGTGATGCATAGGTCATTTCTTGGGAAGCTTAAAAATGATAAATCATATCGTCTTCTATGAAAAACGGTCGCCCCCCCCCCCTTTCTTCAGAAGTATCCTTCACATTCCAAAATTAAATTGATGGCAATGAGGAATACGATTCAGCATCCTTCATTGCGCCCCGCAACTTTCCAACCTGAAAAATCGATCGCTGCGCAACGCATGACACTATCCGAATAACAGTTTCAGAAGAAAATTCCTTTCAAAGATTGAGTTCCGTAGCTACATCTAAGCTGAGAACATCCACAATTCCACACTCAACAACTCCAGAGGCGACTTCGGCATTTATTTGGATTTTCGAATTATTTTCTGAAAGGAGCGAAATGCATTCCGCCGCGAGTATGAAATAATGAACTTCTCTGTACATGGGAGAAACCGGCATTGCGAGTATTCAGTACTGTACAATACTTGACTATAATCTTCCATCCAGCATCAGCAAGTCAACATCTACTTTACAGCAGGATAATCTACAGTATTTCAGAGAGGAAAAAACTGTAGTGCGCATGCAATTCAGAAACCTTGCGCGAAATAAGCCGGAAAAATTTGATCCATCCTTGAACAAGAAGTAAACCCTCATTGCTTCTTAATAACACATCTAAATTTACAGGTACAATACAGGTACGGGCACCCTTTCTTCCTATTTAAAAAGTTATTTTACCCTCAAAATTTTCTCAATAGCGGGGTATCTCTCCGAATCGTCCAATCGGGTACGTATATGTTACCACAACGTTTTCCGTGTGAATCCAAATAATTTGCTGTAAAATGTCCGACAATGACTTACCTTCAGTTGTTTCTCAGCGCTCGTTACTGCGTTGATCACATTAGCAGCGTATGGAACCCGAGGAATCTCTTTCATGCACCTCAGACTATAATCCATGGCGTTTCGTTCGCAGTAAATATTGACTGAAGATAGAACACAGATCAGCTATAGTTTAATACGAACACTAATCGACGATAACCACAGGTGAGAAATGGTTTCGCGGTATATTCAATCACATTCTGACGACCGCAGACATTAGCACACGAATAACCACGCAATTTCTTCCGGACCGTGCGCGCGAAGACGGAAAGGGTATAAAGCACTCCGAATGTCGCATGGTCGAATACGTTACACGCCCACGTATTCTTAGCAATGTACAGTACTATACTGTACGTGAGAAATTGCTGTACAGTACGTAGAATACCGGTTTAGAGTATAGTATCATGCAATAGCGCGAATATCTCATGGCACGGTGGCGGTTTATTCCATAAGCTTGCGACATCTGGCCGCTTCTTCCGCAAGGATATATGCACATGTGTTTCATGCAACCAACATCTGGTGACGCTCTTCATCATGCCTGCTCCGTTTCTGTAAGAGTTCTCGACCTCACAATTCGTTTGGACAATTGCTTTCTGTATTGTCAAAGACAGATCGAATCAGTCGATTGAAAATCGAGGAAAACATCAATGTCAAACTCGACTCCGCCACGTTTTGTGACCTGCTTCAGTTTTCATAAAGCTCACCTTCACTGTGACGATATTTTGTATCATGCAGACTTCCGACAGCAGAGACAAATCTTGGTGATTTATTTTTCTCGTCAAGCTGTTGCCAGATTGAGCTAGAAAGTGTTAAAACTGACGACTAAGTGCTAGCTCACACTTTGGAGTACCAAATAATTAGTATTTGTGTTCGTCTCTTTCCTCATTTTTAGTACAGTAGTAATGAAATTCCTTTTCTTGCTCTGAGCTTGTCAGAAACAAACCGAGTTCATATACGGCAGAGCTTGTTTATTCAGCATGTTGGCCTTCCTCAAGCACATACCACAGAACATATTGGAATTATGAGCACATTTTTTTTAACCCATGGGCCACAGGGAGTCCTTTTGCATTGTGCAGCTGTGCTGGGATTTTTTTTAGAAGCTGTTGCTTTTTGTTTTTGACCAAAGCTAGATCAACAATAGCTTTGGCTGAGTAGCAAAAGCTGAGAAAAATCCCACCAAAAGAAAGCCATTGTTCTGATAATCCCTCAATGCTAATCCTATGCCAGGAATGTTAAAAACATGGCACTCAACAGTAACTTTTTTTTGTTGACAATTTTTCAGCAAGAATGAAAAAAAAAAGATGTGGGATTTTTTTCTGACTTTGGCTCTTCTAATCATTCTTGTTTCCCCCTTTTTGAGTTTTTCTTAATCTTTGTGGCACAGACTTTGCAGATAAATCCTGGCACCATTGCCCAATGGTTAAAAGTCCCATGGGGTTCTCTCTGCATGTTATAGGGGTTCTCTGCCACAAAATCAAGTGTCCAAAAAAAATCATCCAATACTGCTAACTATAAATGGAAACTTACCAGATCCAGATGAACATCTTCATCTGGCACCATTTACTTTTTTTTAGGAATGAAAACAAATCAGGAGTAGATTTCTTTTTTGTCTCATCAGTCTTTATAACAAAGACCCAACACTGTAACATTCTTCCAGTCACTTGTTCAGACCACTTCACTGTCATTTGTACATTAGTTCTACAAGTACCTCAAAATAGCAAAATATCACTTTGCAACTCTAGGAAAGCATGAATTATTCCCAACATTGTAGGCCTTTGGAAATAATTTGAAAATGAAAATACAAACTAATCCTTAGAAAATTGGATACTATATGTCTAAAATAAAAGTCTGTGGAAAGAAACATTAGTCCTTAGAGAATTGAAAGGAAAAGCTCATGACCATAAAGAGAAAATTGAATTAGTGAGGGAAAAATGAGGCATAAATTTGGATGGTTTCAATGAGGTGGTGATATACATGACCAGGTTCTATACCAGCTCTGGCCTGAGAAAAGAATGGTACAGATTATTGCAAGAGCATGTGAAACTTAAAAGTGAGAAAAGCAAGCACAGATTTCATCATTTATTGGATTCCAAGAAACAATCATCAAGCAAGATTTGGAAAATGCTTAAATGGAAAATTGTTAATTTAAGTGACCATTGTATATCTGGGAATGAATGATCAAGGCATTTCTCCAAAGTTATGTATAAGGAAAACAGAGGTCTTTCCCTATAATTGAATACTTTACAGCAGCAGAGAAAATTGACCCCTTCTTGGATGCACCATTTAAAGAGGAAGAAATTGAAAGTGTGATTTTTAAATCAGTTGCGCTGTTGCACTTTTTTGGGACATATTTTCTTTTCTTTTAATATCCATGTACAGCTTGCTTTTCTATTTTCCATTCTGATGTGAAGAATGTGGTGTGGGTAGGGACAGGAGGGGGTTTGGATGTGGGAACATTGTTTGAACCTTGTGTATGCTGAAAAGCAGAAAATATCTTTAATTATCTCTAACCATTTTTTTTAACTGAATGGAACTGAACTGAACAGTACGCTTTATTTTCCGCTTTTCAGCATACACAAGGTTCAAACAATGTTCCCACATCCAATTAGAGAGAACATTAGAGAGAATTTAGCTGTAGAGAACCCCTATATAAACTGTTCTCTACGGCTAAATTCTCTTTACAATAATGTTTTTCTGATCCTTTGAATTGTTCAGAGAGCAAGAGTCCACCAGTATGAATAAAAGCATGATAAGAATGTGAAGATGGTGATTTCTTTGCTGCTGGTTTTTTTCTCCAACAAAAGGGGATGCAACGCTCATCTTATTGAAAATGTAAGCAGAGAAATGAATAATTCAACCTCAGAGTGGTATGCAATTATACAAGATAAAAAAATTTGGTTTCCCACCAGGATTTTCTTTTCTTAGACTCAATATTTCTCTATCAAAGAAGGACAACTGGGCATGAAGAGGTTGATCTCAACTACAATATAAACTCATTTATTCATAATTAGTGCGCAATTACAATGAAGTGACACCCAGAGTCTATTCTGCCGATAGACTAAAGCTGTCCTGTATATGAAAAAAAGTAGCCTAAAGTGATCGGAAACACAAATTTTGTGGATAATCGCACAAAACATGCAGCAAAAAAAAGAGATTTACTGAATGCACCAGACATGAGTTTTGTACAAAAGTTCTTACACACACACGGGCGAAATATCGATCAACATACACTTAATAGAATCAAAGAAAAAACAAATCGTTGTCGTTTAATCGTTGTGTAGATTTTAAAAATGAGGAAAAATTCAGTTTCTCACTTCCCGTGCACTGCATACCAGGTATTCGAATATGATGAATAATAGTAAGGAGACAAAGCACAAGTGTTGCCACCGTCCCAATCGCAGATCAGATGCTTTTGATTGAAGAAAGTACCCTCGGGGCAGAAGAAGGAATATTTCCGTTTGGCGGCCGTGCAAATATGGAAGATCTGTTGACAAATTTCAATGATTTCGCAGCGTACCTACGGTTCAAGTCACTGATTCTCTACATTCGTCAAACAGGTGTCGCTTCCATACATTCGAACTTCACGTGATGATGGGCACTTAACCAACACTTCCGTCATATCATGATCAAATTTAACTCGCAATAAAAAAGAATCTTACCAGAATACCACATATTTCTTGTTACAATGATTAAGTCGAGAGGAATACTTCCCATGGCAAATTTTTTTTTTTACATGAAGATTCGAATAAGATTGTGGCTATCTCTGTAAAAGAAACCCGTTATCAACATAAATAGGACTGTACGCAGTTCAGTATCTACATCACAGCCCATGCCAGGCTTAATACCTAACCCACAATGAAATTCACCAATTATGATTAATGACAGGAACACTCATTGGTACAACATCTATTGGAATTAATGTTTTTGAATCATTTTTGGTTATGCAGCAAGAAAAAATACTCTGCAGCTTTCAAGAACAGTAAAATCTCATTACAGCAAACATTCAGAGACCATATAAAAAGTGCTATAACTAGATTTTCAAAAGTGATGATGAAAATATGATTTTTTCTTCATGCTTGGTGTTTAAAATCAAGTAGATTTTGATTTTCTGGCATTCTCAGATTTTTATAGCATTACTTGAAAAACTGAACAATCTTCAGAAAAATGACTTAAGTCATGCATTCCAATGAATATTTAATTGTATGGTCTGTATTATAAATAAAGAAGGAAGGGTGTTTCTTAAAAAATATAGTTCATAACCAGGAGCAACAAGCACAGTTTCCCAAGCAATCACAAACATTTTTTTGCACTGATTTTAAGAGGATTTTTACAGTTGAAAGAAAATTACTTTTGTTTCACCTCTCCTAGAAAATCTCTTCATCCTGGGATGATGTGTTGAACCACTTAAAAGCATGTTTGTTATTGATTACTCTCTTGTCATTCAAGCTAAAAGAACCAGCTGTCAGTTAGATTAAAAAATGCAGATTTCAAACTGTCAAAGCTGTCTTCGTTGTACAATTTTTGCCTGGAAAATCCATTAGGAATTCCCAAAAAAAGTTTATTGCTGTACTGTACTGCAATTTGGTAGTTTGTTATAATGTATGCTTTGTGGAGTTTCTGCCAAGACTTGAGAAAAAGTGTCTTATGCTGAAAAATTAGCTGCAACAGTATTCTTCTTGTAATGAGATTTTACTGTATTCCGCTGAGACATCATCATATAATAAAGGGATGGAGCGAGCATAGAAAACATTCCAATTGCTGCGTCCGGAGACAAGAACGTTGGAGCGACACCTACTCGTGAATATATAAGTTACGTGACTTCTCAGCTCACTTGGCAGTGGGATTCCATGTCGGCGTAATAGCCGGGCACCACAACGAAATCGCAGGAAAACGCGCTGTCCATCAGAGCAGCCGAAACGCGTCGCCATTTGTCATCCACTGTAAGGGTCTCTTCCAGCTGATGCCTTTGCCCTGAGATACCCTTATTGTGCCGATGAAAAATTCCACTGGGCTTCTCCAAGAAATCTCTCCTGATGTTGTCGGGTGGGTAGTCGTCCCAATAAGGTTCATTCTGAGGGGGAAAAGAAAAGATTCCACTTTTCCACTACAGTAGTTGAAACTGTTGAAATCATAGAAAGGTGAAGTCTCAATCTTGTCAACAAGACTGGGCTTTGCAGAATGATTTTTATTGTCACACTAGAGTTCTTTTGCACTTTTGTAGGGGTTCTGTCCAACAAAATTCTTCCTTGAAGGAATTATTTCTGGTCTCTTGAATTTTTCTGTAGAAAGAGTCCACCTGTATTTCTATTACGGTATTTACTCAAGTACCACGCGCCCTTGAGTAAGGCACGCACAGGGGTTTTTCAGTTGGAAATTTTGCTAAAATCTTATCCCTGAGTAAGATGCGCACCCCAATTTTTAGTGAATCTGAAACCACAAAATTTTGCAAATAAAAACAAAAATTTGACTTTAGGCATAAATTGAACAAAAATCTCACCAATTTTCAACTTTTTCAGTACAAAACATTTTCTTGTTACATTTGCTCCAAATTTCTCCATTATAATCAAGTATAATGCACACGTAACTTCCTAAAACTTCTTGAAAATTTGGTACCCACTTATTACACGCACCCCTTTTTTCTTCTGAAATTTGGGAAAAAAAGGTGCGTGTGGTACTTGAGTAAATACGGTATTTCTTCATTCTGCTGGTAACCCTGACTGGAGTCCCATTTTTTTGTTGTTGAAGCAAAAGTCATTTTTGTCACTTTAAAGCTTTATTTCTGTATTGTGATATTATTGATGAAGTATTTATATATTTTTTGCAAGCTTTCTCTCACATTTCCTGCGCAGAATTCATCAGAGAGGAACCCAAAGGTAGTTTGATTTAGGGAGTTTTGGAGTCAGGGAAACTTGCATTTGCGCTGAAAAAAATGTTGCAACCATTCCAAAAAAGGAAAATTGGCGGTCTTTTGGCTCGGAAACATCTGGGTAAATGCGTTGACAGGAAGCTAAACTTCATAGCAAGGGTAAATTCGCCCAATGAGCACTTCCTCCTGAGAAACATCAAGTCAAAAATGTGTATTGCTCATTCATTCTTCAATAGCCCACTACCACATTAACCCTAAATACAGACCACCCCACCACACACACCTCACAAGAGACTTTTGAAATATTTTATTGCAGCATCTTTCAGGGAAAAAGTGAAACATAAATGATTGCTTCACATACAGTACTTTGAAAAAAAAAACCATTATATCACAGAAAGCTTCAAATTTAAACTTAATATGTTTTGAAGATCAAGGCAAAGAATTGCAGGAAGCTTCGGATTGAAACTGTGAATGTTTTGAAGATCAGGGCAAAGAAGATAAGAATAATATTGTTTATTTTAGTCCAGCAATTTTGTGAATTTCAGAAAGTTAGAAGGGCAAGCTTGTGAAAGGTTACTTCAAATTTCCCTCATGTATCAATAATTCGAGTCTCTTTTGAAAACTTGCTGAATTACAAAGTTTTTCTTTGTGTTTTCTGTCATTTTGTGTGTTTTAGCGGAGGATCATAAATTCGTTTTTATAACAACTTGAAAGAACATATAAAAACTAATAAAATCTGCATTATAAAATGCATCCAGAAATTGATTATTTTTGCAGTACAAACACTTACTGTGATTTCATGATAAATGCCATTTTACATTTGAGTCATCAAGGTTTGATGTGGCAGTTTTTGAGTTAGGGATAAGTAGATTGCACTGTGCTTGAGAGAATTTGGATACAGGGGGACTATCCATCAATTTGACATACAGAGGCAGTTTCAACTTGCAGAGGATTTACTGTCCAATTCTGCATTCCTCAGGAGGTTGTGATTGGCCCTGTTTAATTCATACTCTTACTCAAATACCAGCTGAGAATTCTGTTTGGGAATTATAAATTGGGCTCAGGGATGTCAGGTGCAGGTCCTAGGACCTGAGGTCCTGGGCCAGTTCTCCTTTGTGCATCCACTTCCTGTGGATGCACAACTTCCTCAAATGTTTTCCTCTTGCCAATCAGAGGCTGGAGAAGAAAGTTGTATGCCTTGGTCAGGACACATGACTGAATCATGTTCCTGAAACATATAAATACCCATTTTCCCCTTCCCCAATAATCATTCCACCTAAATTAATCTTACTGAAAGCACCCTCTGAAAGTCTGAATCCAATTTTTTCCTTTACCTAATGTATTGTGATATTCATTCTTGAATATGTGTGCTAACAATTTTTTGTCATTTATTTGACATGTTTTGTAAATATTTACTGCATAGTGATGCCTTATTTGCATTGTATTGTGCTTTGTGTGGGTTGTGACTTGTGATTCATCTTGATTTCTAATGAAGCACACAAAACTATGGATATGCTGTGACTATGGTACCCCTTTAGCTACACATTCCTGGCCACAAACAAGTTGATTACCCTGCTTGATCATTCAAACCTGTGTCTCCCAACCTTTTTTGGCCCACTGACTGGTAAATTTCCATGAATTTTTTTGTGGACAAGCTAATTAAAAAATAATAATAATTCTACAGACTGGCAAAGTTCATGAAAATTTCAAGGTCTAAAATTTTTTCTTAAAAGACGGGCAGGCATTTGAAAATTTTCTACTTTCTTGCAAATATTAAGAACCAGTGAAGCAGCCATAGTGGAATGTTCTCAAAAAATTATAAGGTGGTTTTGAAGAAAGGTTTCTCAGAATGAAAAACTAATGTAATTAATTTCAGCAGGTGAAAATTTGTCCAAAGTGTTATTAACCTTTCTGCAGCCAATTATGACTTTTTTGCAGATGTTGGGTGACTCAAGAATGACATTATAAAATTTATGAAAGTAGGTGTGTGCAGGGCAAAGTTGGGAAGCATCCTCGTATTTTTTAATTTTACACAGAAAAATTCTACTCATAACAAGGAAAAAATTACCTCTTCAAGGCCCACTTTCTTCCCCTGGCCTTGTGTTGTTCCCCCATTCAAAGATTGAATTCAAGCTTGAAAGCAAAGAGCCCAGGCTAGAGGTCACTATACCCAGCAAATAATTTGGGCGTTTTAAAATGCATTTTATACGCATTTCTAGCCAAAAATGCTACGCATTTCAAACCTCTCTAGGTTACGCCTACTTGGGATTTTAGTTAATGCATACCTTGTAGGCATTTTGAAATGCCCTCTAGTTACAGCTAGGTATTTATCGAGGCGTAACTCAAGTTACACCTGGATAGGATTGATTATAATGCAGAAATGCATATGATATGCGTTTTTCAACAGGAAATTGTTACAAAGAAAACCACAAAAAAATATTCTCACCAAGACAGACTGGGCTCATTATGCACAATGCACACACTATACACACACACACACACACGCACACACACACACACTCACACTGACAGGGAAATAAATGAATAATAAACTGCCCCTCTCGGGATTCGAACTTCAGACAAACATTCCTGAGCCCAAAGTCATATCAACTGCACCACCATACGTTGGTATTATTACTGAGGTGATAATAACTCAGTAATAATACCAGGACATCTAATACCAGGTATTATGTGCCAGATGGTATTATATATCTGAAATAAACAGTGTTTGGGATTGTAACAGACAGGCATTTTAAAACACCTGTCTGATACCATGCCAAAAACTGTTTATTTCAGATTTTCCCTGGTTGTAACACAGAGCGTTTTAAAATGCTCCATGTTGCACCCAGGAAAATCTGAAAAAGAAATAAATTCTTGAGTGTAGCAGGCAGGCGTTTTGAAATGCCTGCCTGCTACACTCAAGAAAAGCTCATCAAAAATGTTTCAAGTATAGGCATAACTACAGAATGCAATAAAAAACGCATTCTGAATGCATTTCAGAAAAAACTTTCAGTACAGCAACACAGAAAAAAAGAAAGGCCTTTCAGAAGAAGCTAGGCATAACAGTTATGCATAACAAATGCATATTTTAACGCATAACTGTTATGCGCAGCAATACCTGTAACAAATTATTTGCTGGGTATGCAGAAAAAGTGCAACTTAGGACTTTTGCAGCATTTCTTTATCCTCAAATAAAATCAAACTTTTCCCTTCCCCACCTGGCAGGGGTTGCATAACCAATTGGGTAAAAATGATACGCAGGAACAAAGAAAAAAGTGCAACTTTTACCAGGGATGGAAATGGGAGCTGCTGCCATCCAAGGGTTAAGAGAAAAGCCACTTTTTCTTAGGGTGTCAGATAATTTAAACTGCCATTGTTTCTCCAAAATTGAAGATGAAGATAACAGACTTCATTGCTACTGCATACTGCAAAAAATGTCTCACAGACTCGCAAAAAAAAAAAAAAAATCTGCAGACACAGATCCAGTCCACTCACCATAAGTTGGGGAACACTGATTTATACTATTTTCCACTGCACTGCAATGATTTCTCTTTTAATTGATATAATCATCATTGCCCTCAGCAAATGCCATCCATGTTATTTTTTCAAGGCAGGCGGATTGCAATTACATAATAACCTCCCCAAAAAATAAAAACAATTATCCAAGAAAATTGCCTTCTCAGAGAAAAAGTTAAACAAATAACACCATCACTGCATATATATATGGGGGAGACGTTGATAGATTGTTTGTCGTATTCTTCATTATTGCGGTCGGGAATATTCTCGGCGAAGGAAAAAGCTGCTGCTCACGTACATTGATGTCATTGCCGGACTTGTGTTGAGGTGTTGGTGCAGACGTCCGAGTTCGCCCTTGAGCCATGTCCTGATGATGAAGCCAGAAGAAGCAGCAGCTCAAAACCAAGGAATGTCCTCTGCAAAGTCTCATCAGCAACGAGCCACGTCTCATTCCTTGCGCACCCATAAAATTCACAAAAGTGAGCTTTCAGCTCAAAATCACATCTCTGCAAAAATTTGACACACGCCCGTAAAGACATATATATTTATGAAAAAAAAATAAAGACTGGACTTCAGAGGTTATTTAAAAAAAAAATGGGGTTACGAATATAATCCTATGATGAGGAACAGAGCCCATTATATTCAACTTGCGGCGCACTGCGAATTATTGTATGTTCCTGCTGGTGATGAGATTTCTTTTGCGCTGGGCTGCCAGAACGACAAAATTACAATAATATATGCTAACCAACACTTATTATTTGGAGAAAGAACCAGCGAATTTTCTCGCTTCCCGGAGAATGCATTTTCATGCTACCGGAATTCAGCAAAGCCTTATTGGCATTCAACAAGTTGAGTAACATCCCCTCTATACCCAATGGAATGCTTGAAAACTAATGATGGGATGCATGAAAAAATTTTAAATTCAACATTGCGAAATCATATTTTTCGTTGAAATTTCACGCACATTTTTTTTTTGGCGGAAAATTTCTGTGATTGATGGGGTTGCGTCCAAGAAAAGTTTGCTTCACATCTGTTGGGTGCAAAATACAGTCTTGTACAAAAGTTAGTTAAACAGATTGCTGGTCTTCGGCAATAGCTTGAAAAGACACTTTTATGAGATTTTTTCTCGAATCTCAAAATCTCTGAACAAATTTTTTTTAATATTTATTCCCAGAACACCAGCTCAGCAGTTTTTCACATCACACGTGCGCGCCGCGAATTTCAGGCCAGGAGTGCGAGGTTTTGGTACCTCTTACAGATTTTTATGAGGATGACCTTCGGCAGTACTTGAGGTGAAAATCAAATGCTTCAAGTACGTTTTCATTGCTTCTTGAGAAAGTTACAAGAAAGACATTGAGATCAGCGGAGTATAAAATATCGATGAGAGACTCGATCGTGAAACCCTTTCAACAGTTTTCCACGGTTAATTCCAGGGATAATCATAAAGTTCATTATCAATTTTATCTCTTTTAAGTTGTGATTCCTCAACAATATCATTATACATAGAAGTCCATGCATCCTGGAAACAAGAACATTCCATCACAGTAAATGTACACAAATTTGTTGATCATTTATTTGCTGCATTAATAATTTTGCGCTCATTTATTGGTATGCATCATTTGAATTGTACTTTGAATCACAGTATTTGAAATGTGATTTTCAAACAGAACATGAATGCAATTGATTCACACAACTAAGGATTATGTGCATTCAAAGAGCCATCTGAACCCTTATGAAGCAAGGTTGGAATATTTTTCTTGTGTCCAAAATTGTGTGACAAACTTATTCGATGACTTGGCCAATTTTTATTTCCTGCTGTTGCCAAAATAAAATTCATTCACTAGAAAATTTCATGAAAAGCAAAGATAATTCACACAGGAAACTGAAATCAAAGACAAATCTGAACTGGGAAGCAAGTCCTAATAAGTTGAAAAAAAAATCCAATAATTTTTTTTTCTTATCTGCCTGCAGGATAAAAATTGGCTGAGAGAAATGAAAATTATTCCTCAGTGCTGGGTGGCATTTTTTCCCTGCATTTCTGCCATAGGATTGACATTGAAGGTTTTCAAATACAAAAGGATTTTTACTCTTCCCAGATGTTCCCCAGCAGGTTTGGCCTTCTCAGCACAGGCTGCTTTTTTTGGTGACCTTTGTTCAAACTGAAATGTGCTGGTGTGCAAAAAAAAAAATCCTGACTTTTCTGCAAGATGGAAAAGAACCTGCTGCCATCTGAGGGTCAAATCATCTCCTTGGCCACAAATACTGCCCAATGGACCTCTTTATTTATTGTTTTCCACCTGCGAACACACGCCTTTGTTTTCCTTTCGTCTGTATCTACTCAACACAAAATGTGCTGCACAATAAATGAGTAGATTTCTGAAATGAAAACCTTTGCCTATCTTCCGGGAGATAAACAGAACTTCAAAAATGTAAATACTGTAGTCAGTCCTTGGGTACAATAAAGTTAAAAAAAAAAAGTTCTTCCTTGGTTTTATGGAGAAGACCATCTTCAATCGAAAAAGCTTTTCATGAATATTATTATTTATTTATTTTTAATTAATCGGCTTTATTTTTTCAAATACTGGCGTGCAATTTTAATTGCACATGGAAAGCCAGTGGATTTCACCGACCTTCACACAAAGTTGCATGAATCGCATTTCTGGTTTTATGCAGGCGTTAAGGCTACTGGGTACAAGTACTTATTTTTCCGGGAAATTACACCAACTCCTTCTTCTTTTTCCCCGCTGAATTTCACGAGTTGTTGCCAGACATAAAACAAAATCCCGTTGATCCTTTTTTTCTGTCTCTTTTTCTATCCCCTCTCAAGCTGGTGTTGGGATTTAAAAAAGCCGCAACTCGGGTGCATAAAAAAATATAATTAAAGCACACCAGAAAAGGGAGTATAATGGGAGCTGGAAGTGATTCAGCAAATCCTTCATTTCCTGGAGGGTTTCGGTTTGATGTTTTCGCATAAAGCAACTGCTTGCACAACATGACACGAAACCGAGTTCTGATGACATACTGCTCAACACTGGCTTCACTCGATACCTTCAATGAATTCGCTGCGGTTTCCCAAGTAAAAATTAAAAAAAAATAAACCACTATAGGGTGAATCATCTTTGCTTTTCATGAAATTTTCCAGCGAAGAAAAACCTTTTCACTGCCCCCTTTTTTTTTGGCGACAACAGCAAACAAAAAATTGGCCGAGTCATCGAATACGTTCTATGGAAATATTTTCATACACCACTTTGATTGAACGTCGCATAAAAAAGCATAAAAAGCCCACCAAAAAATGAGAATTTATTTGCAATCTCCATATTAAAGAGGGGCCCAGACATGCGGACACCCCGACATATGGACGCTTTGACTTAGGGACACTTGAAATTCACAGAAAATATGTACTCCAACAGCTGGTCAATGTTCCGAGATGCGGACGCTTCACCAAAATTATAGACAAATAATGGAATTTGTTGACATTTTTTCATCTCTTGAACAAATTGAACTTTTCATATTTACGAAAGCAAAAATAAATTGTACAGTATTAGAATCCGCATAATTCAATGCACAAATAATTTCGGGCTTCTTTTTTCAGTTCTTATTGGAGGAAGACTTGTACATGCTTATTTTTTGCTGTTTTGGTTTATTTTCATGCCAAAAGGTTAGCTTTTGTGTGGTTTTCTTCGGCAGTATTATTTTCGCTACCTTTAATTCAAGAAAAAAAATTATTCATTTTTTGGGGACTTTCGCCAAATTTTTGTTTGACAGGACAGGAGAACCAATTAAATATATTCCAAATAGTCTAAAGGGAAACGTAATAACCTCATCTGTTGCATTTTTCATTCGAACATGCTCATACGAAAAATTTTTGCAAATTTTTCCAACACGTAACGTGGTAATTAAAATTAAAATACAGCAGTATAACTGTATTAAACGGTACCTGAAGGTTCTCTAAATTCAGTAAACGGTGAACTTTGGTTTCATGTACTTCAATTCATCGTGAGATGGAACACGATTGACGTTGATCCAATTTAACACCAGCAAAGACAGTATAAATTGAAAAATAATTTCAAAGTGAATACGAATTTTCGTGGGTTTCTCCAATGAACGGGACGATGAATCATGGAGAAGGTCGAGACAATTAAAAGTTATTGTCACCAGTGACACATTCATTGTTCACATTTCACCTCGATAATTTGCCGAACCCAATCGTAAATTTCAAATCGGAAAAGGCAAGAATTTCATCCCAAATATTGTTTTTTTGTTTTGTTGGATCACGATCCGAAACCCGTAAGTCGTTTGCCACGAAAGGTTCTGGGAGCAAAAATAATGGGCACATATCTCATCCAGGTGGAAATTACTTGACAGAACAACTGCTTCTGTCAAAAAATAACAGTGCTAAAAAATCCTTTCAACCACCGTTATTCAATCAAAAGGCATGTTCAAACTTTGGCGGAGAATAAAAAAAAAAATTCGCGGGAAAGTCAAACTGTTCGAGAGGAAGTGGGAAAATCTTTTTTCATGACTTGGTTCGAAAATTGGTCTTCAGTCTTGTATCAGATGGATTGAAAATGGAGAAATATTTTATATACAGTATATTATAGAACAATAATTTCGAACACTGTTGAATTCTTACGGTATAATGGGAGCAGTTGAAACTGTGAAAATATACGTTACATCCATAATTTGAAAGTGGATTAAATTACCTGGAAGAAATCTGGTTCACATGCCACATCTGCATGTTTCATGCGTTTTCGTGTTGCTGAAATATTACCGAACAGTTTAAATAATTACATATTTATTCCAGCATATATTTCCCATATTTTTCAACCATCCCACCAAGAAGTCGTTCATTTTCATTTCAAACTTCTTCATAAAGTTGTCAGCCAGGAGTTGTTGCCGAAGTTAAACATTTCTGGAGAAATTTTGGATAAGAGTTACACAAGTTTTGAATATACGGTGATACTTGGACCAATTTTGGAAAATTCAGGAAACGCCCAGATCTGGGCAATTTTGAGAACCAATTTCAGTTGTGAACCATAAAAATTCCACAGAGCACCATGCATTTTAGAAAATTGTACGGTAATTCATCATAAAATTATTTTCTTGCATCTATAATTTCTGCTGGTTTTTTGAAATCAGCAAAGATTAAACTTGAAAACCGAACCTTTCCTTACATCACAATATATCGAGATCTTGGTATCCGTGGTTCAATTCGCTGTTACCGAATATAAGCACGAATAAAGGAAAACAATTATTTAAAAGCTGTGTTTGAAATCTGTAAGAAAGGATTCACCGAAATGCATCCGAAAGCTCGTGAAATTTTTTTTTCTCAAGCGAGCGCAAATATTTATAGTGAGCGAATTTTAAAGATAATTCCTTTGATAAGTGTCGCATAATCTGGAAATAATTTCGAACGATATTTTCAGATATGACTCAGAATGACCTTAATTATTTCAAGTTTTTTCGAATCCAACCTCCCGACGGCAGTTTTTATGATCGCAATGAAGTGTGGGTTAAGGTTAGC